ACACTGTCTTCACCTCTGACAGCTCCATGAGCAGTTTCATCCGGAACAATAGTAAATGCTTTACTGTGCCTCGGTGTAACACAGTGCAATGTAAACAATCATTCTTCCCACGAACAATAACTGCTTGGAACCAACTGAACAATGCCGCCGTGGACTCGACATCACTCGAGACTTTCAAAGCTGCCCTGGCACCACCCGCTGGGAGCCGTTTAGGATGGCCGCATCGTTTCCCAAACCGTTGCACACCTGCCAGATCATGGATGCAGCAACGTACTCTATCAGAATCAGAATTAGTTATTTAAGAAAATCAAAAGAAAATAGTACGCATTAAATGCACTTGCGATATTTTTTTTTTTAAAGAATATCCTACTCATCTAGCGCAGTTATCGGGAATTTTATTTCGGGAAATCAGTGCCATCATATTTCCCTTCTTGTTTCCTTGAAAACAGGAAAAACTGATTTATTTATTTATTAAGGGGGGTGGGGGTGCTGGACATTTGACATAATGTGATGTCCTCGACAACGAGTCTATTTGCCAAGTTTCAGATAGGTAGGTTGACGGTAAGTGGGTCAGTTAGCCGTCCGAAGATATTGCCAGCAGGCCAGCCACCCACGCCCCAAGGGTGAAGTTGATATAAAGGATTTAATAAACAAGCACTCACAAAACAGCTCGACCATACGAAAATTTGACAAAAAATTTTGATCGTGTGAACTGAGTATTAGCGTGTTAAAAATAGTGTAGCCTACTAATGCAGTATATCCTTAAATTGGAGGATTTCTGAAATGACATGTTATGAATAGTACACTGAAACATGAAACCAGCCGCCCCTGAAGCCCATATATTCAAGACAATAATGGCAACTTTCCACAATATATTTATATATTTTTTTTAATTGACCAGGGTGTTTTGTTCTCATTATAAGTACTGCTGTGGACAACTGCTTATATGCAAGAAATAATTTGACTTCAGTCTTCAGAGTGGCCGTAGGCTTTGCTTGCCTAAATACATTTTTACAAATAAGAGTTACTATTTGAGTTTGTTCTACTGATTGGTTGTAAAGATTCAAACTAGAACAAGAGGGGTGGGGGAAGGAGGATGCTGGAGTCCTCGGTTAAAATGAGTAAGTGGTCGTTCATTTATTATGTCAACAAAATGGTGGGGGGGGGGGGTGGGGGGCCAGGAATTGTTTGACAATTGTTAACAAGGGGGAGGGGGGTGGGGAGTTGGATGGGACACGTAGCCCGTATGGCAGACCACCGGCTCCCGAAACAAATATTCTTTGGAGAACTCACGATAGGCAAGCGCTCCCAAGGAGGCCAAAGAAAGCGTTACAAAGACTCACTGAAAGTTGCACTAAAGGCCTTCAGCATAAACCCTACTCAATGGATGCAGACAGCCCAGGACAGAGCCAGTTGGAGAGATGCTGTCAAGAAGGGGGCTAAATCCCATGAAGCTAAGAGAATAACCACAGCTGAGACACGCAGGCTTGTCCGAAAGAGCAACATTAGGTCATCGCCTGAAGCAACTATTCCATGCCCACGGTGTCAAAGATTATTCCGAGCAAGGATCGGTCTAACAAGCCACCTAAGAGCTCACCGTAATCCCAACCCCCCCCCCACCCCGCCCGCCCCTAACCGGATGATTCGATGGTCCTTGTCGACTTCGACGGACGAACAACATTATATAAATTTTAACTTGTTGATTAACAAGCTAAGGATGCGATAAAAAGTTTTCCTAAAATTTTGTGTTATTAAAATAGATCAGCACAAATATGTATTTATATATTTATTTATATTATAATTCATTTTGTTTTGGGAGGGGGGGGGGGGGGGGGGGTTTAGAAATGTTGACATAATCAGTGAAAGTTTGACAGTTGATGACAAAAGGGTGGGGGAGGGGTAAAAATTGCTAAAAATTGTTTCTGTAATTAATGGACGCCCCTTAATTATTGTTTATTTGTATATATTGAAATATTTGTTTTGATATAAGAAAAATGTGCTAGGATAAAGACGCTTAGTAACCTAGTAACCGTGCAAAAGGAACACAATCATACATTGTTAAACCCAATATTATTTCATGCTGGAAAACTGCAGTAGAATTAGAATGCTTTTCCTTTGAATATTTCATGACTTTTTTTTTTTTTTAATTTTTAAAGTTGTAGAACTGCTAAGCATCTTTCAGGTAACAATGTGAGCAAAGACCGACCGAAAGTGATTTTCTGATTTCGGCCAAAGCCGAAAAGAGGCCGAAAGTTTAAAATGACTTTTGGCTGAAACCGAAAAAAAGGCCGAAAGTTAAAAATGATTTTCGGCCGAAACCGAAGCCGAAAATGAAATATTTATATATTTTGAAATTCGTTCCCGCATACATTCTGCAGGCATACATCGAAAATGATGGGGGAAAGTATAAATATTTAAATTCTTTTCATAAAAAATGAGATAATCGTGAATATTAATAAAAAAGCATCTAAAATAGGGGTCTCAAACTCGCGGATTGCGAACCATTTGTTCTTAAAGATCGTTTAGTTTATTGTTAATGATCGGTTAGTTTGTTCTTAAAGATCAATGAGTTTATTCATAAAGATCGCTTAGTTTGATCTAAAAGATCGCTAATTTAATCTTAAAGATCGCTTAATTTGTTCTTAAAGATCGCTTTGTTTTTTGTTAAAGATCATTCAGTTTTTGTTAATGATCGCTTTATTTGTTCTTAAAGATCGGTTAATCCGTTCATAGAGATCGCTTAGTTTGTTGTTAAAAATAGTTTATTTTGTTTTTTAAGATTGCTAAGTTTTTTCTTTTAGATCACTTAGTTTGTGTTATTAAAAGATCGTTTAGTTTGTTCATAAAGATCGTTTAGTTTGTTCATAAAGATCGCTTAGTTTGTTCTTAAAGATCATTGAATTTGTTCCTAAATATGGCTTCGTTTTTCTTAAAGATCATTCAATTTGTTCTAAAAGATCATTTAGTTTGTTTTTATAGATCTTTTAGTTTGTTATTAAGAATCGTTTAGTTTGTTCTTAAAGATTGCTTAAATTGTTGTAGAAGATCGCTTAGTTTGTTCTTAAAGTTAATTGATTTTGTTCCTTAAGATCGATTAGTTTGTTCTTAAAGATCAATAGTTTTTCTTTAGGATAATTTATTTTGTTCTTAAAGACCTTTTGTTTGTTCCTAAAGAACATTTAGTTTTATGTTAAAGATTGCTTAGTTTATTCTTATAAATAATTAAGTTTACTATTAAAGATAATTTGTTTTGTTCTTAAAAATCATTTAGTTCGCTCTTAAAATCGTTTTGTTTGCTCTTTAAGATCGTTTAGTTTGTTATTAAAGATCGCTTAGATTGTTCTTAAAGATTGCTTAGTTTGTTTTAAAGATCGTTTAGTTTGTTCTTAATGTCGCTAAGTTTGTTGTTAAATATCGCTTGGTTTGTTCGCAAAGATCGCTTAATTTGTTCTTAACGATCGCTTTATTTGTTTTTAAAGATCCCTTTATTTGTTTTTAAAGATTGTTTATATTGTTCTTAAAGACCGCTTAATTTATTCTTAAAGATCGTTTAGTTTGTTCTTAAATGTCGCTTAGTTTGTTGTTAAATATCGCCTTCGCTGAGTATTAGATTTTTGAAAATCTCAGTCACTTTCGGCTGGATGGCCGAAAGTCTAAGTCAATTTTGGCCGAAACCGAAAAAAAACGAAAGTTAACGTTTGTCTTTCGGCCAAAACCGAAATTAAGCCGAAAGTTAACTTTTCAGTTTCAGCCGAAACCGAAACTTGGCAGAAAGTGATAAAATGGCCACTTTCAGCGCCGAAACCGAAGCCGAAATTCGGTCGGTCTCTACATGTGAGCAAACTTCATTGTGAGTGAAGAATCTTTGTATTCAAATGGTATAGTATAAGCAAATGATCGATTTGGATCTTGAATATTTGCAGGGAAACTTTACTTTGGTGTATCAAAGCAATGACTGACATATATTTTGCTCAACTAATTGGATGTTCCATTGATAGTAGGTTAAAATAATCAGTATTCATGGACCACATGAATAAGTTGAAGTAGTTTGAACAAAATTAAAGAAATTTAACCAGTCTTTGGCCTTTGGAGACAAATAATAATGGGGGAAAAAACTAGTCAAACCATTTTTTTTTTAAATATTTTTTATACAAAACAAGGAAATAATAATAATTTAGTTTGTTAAAAGATGTGGGTTAACAGAGCCTATTATATGTTGTGATCTTTGCACTTCAATTATCAATCCATCCAACTTCTGCGAAATGCAATTTTCAATCCAACCATTACAATGTTGGTGACTCCTGTTCATGTCTAAAAATGAATGTGTCAACTATTAAAATAGAAACATAAAGAATAAAAGTTTATAAAAATATATGTATTTATGTCTTTAGTTATATCATTTGGTTTATATAGCACAGGCCAAATAATTAGTTTTATCAGTTTGTCTCATTTCTTGTGATGTTATCTCAATGTCATAGCATTTTAAATTTCAATACTTTATGGTGAGGGATATTACAACTAAAAAGCATTGGATTATTTTTTAACGCAACATCAAAATAAATGACAATAAAAATGGAATACATTGAAAATTTGATGTTGAAAGTGCTAAAAAAATAGTGTTGTGATGCATACCTTATATAAGAACATATCATCAGATATGTTTTGCTTCATTGATAATTATTAAATCATTTAGTCTTAAAAACAAAGTTATACGTAAAAGACATTTGATCTATGTGTCAGATACCCACAAACATCTTGAACATACTGAAGAGGAGCAAAGTTTATGGAAATAGTTTGTAACATTTCTCCGCTCGTACACATTCATAAGAGTAATATGATATGCTAAACTTTTTAAAAACAAAAATACAACAATGAGTTTAAGAGATTGAAATGTGTATTTTGATAAACAGACACAGTGATGGTATCAAACGTCAACATCATATGGCATAAAATAGTTTTCAGGTAGCCACAAGTTTTTACTCAAAGCCAAAAATATACAGTATTTATATCTATATGAATTTGATTTTAATATCTTAAAATTTAAATTTTCCCAACAAATGTGAGGTATTTTAGGAAAAAAATAAACAGTCTCCTTATAAAATATAAATTCTATCTCAACTAGACATATTTTTTTGTCTTAAGTGATGTACTTGCTTTTCAAGCCAAAGAAGCCCTATAAAAATACAAACCCTGCACAGACCTTAAAAACAGAAATTTCTTTTAACCTAACTTATCAAGTACAACATTTAATAGAAAGAAAAAATAAAATAATGAAATGAGGAAGGACACGGAATAGAAAAAAATCAAGTTCAGTACAATAAAAATTATTGAAAGTTAATGTTCCTGGTTTTCAACTCAGGGAATCAAATAAATATATGTAAATATGCAAAGAAGAAATTTTCTTTGAGGGCCGAAAGACTGCACATGTAATAGAGGAAATATGTGCTAAATTGTGAATTGGAATGCTAAAGGATTAAGGCACAATATAAACGTGTTTACATTTTGTGACAAGGATTGAAGGCGCAGGAGGTTGTATTTATAGAAACTATCACATTTAATTATCATTTAAAAAATAAAGAATCTTATCACTCTAAGATACAACACAATAGTCATTAAAGTGCATTTGAACTAGCCCAAATCTGCCTTATTAGAACAGGAAAAAAAAATTAATTGAAACAACTTGTCACTGTACAAAAAACGAATAATTTTTTCTTTCAGTAAATATATGATATAAAAGTAAACATTAATGAATAAATAAGCCCCATCTCTTCTCATGCCAGTCATGGAATATTACCTACATTTTTTTAAAAACTGAAGTTACCCTCTGAAATTTTCAAGACAAATGATAACTTAAAAAAAACTAACTTAAAGTTGTCACTATACCCACCACCCTGCCCCCCCTCCCCCCACTACAACAGACGCCATATCCATAAGATTAGCATGATTATTATATTGACTGGACATCATACAGTACTCAATTTTTTATTTTTAAAAACAAGTATTTGCAAATTACCTAAAAAGCAAATAAAATAGTGAGCTTTTGCTGGAAGTAAAATATATTATGTATTTGAGAATGTAGTCTAGCTATATATAATATAATCAATTTGTTAAACACAGCCAAGATCAGCTGAAGTTTGTGCACACAAAAATTTCATTTGCTATCACAATACTTAGAGAAAGTACACATTTTGATAACAAAAAATTTCATTTAAGCCGTAAAGGGTTAATCAAATGAACTGGAAAACAGATTCACAGTAAAATAACTAAATTTTAAAAAAATATTATCAATTTAGTTATTTTCAGTTCTCAATGGCATTTAAAATAATTTATTATGCATATTTTACTGTAAATCTTTTTTTTAATTCGTACATTTAAGAAATAGATTAAAGTTAAATCAGTGAGATATCTATAACCATTTATTTTTTTAAATAATTATTTTTAAATTATAATTTCTTTTGAGCCAAACACAAGTCATTTTCATCAAAAACGTATGGCTCAATTTATCTGCACTCACAAGGTATGTACATGAAATGTTTTAGAGACACTTTTTTGGGGGAGAAAAATCCTTCGATAACTTCAGCATTAAGTACAATTCTCTCTCTCTTCTATCAAGAAGAGTATAATTTTTTTTTTTTTTAAAAAGAGCAAGAAAAGATAAAAATTTCATATGCATGATAAGTTTGACAGGAAGATTACAATTTTTTTAAAATGTGCACTTAAAAAAATGTAAAGAATTCAGAACTCATGTCAAAATATTATAGGAGACAAGTTAGTACACTGTCAACATTTAGCATAAAATTTTGAAATGACAAATTCTTATGAATAACATTAGCACTGATGTAATGTATCTCATTTCTCCCCTCTAAATTTCATAATATTTATCACTACAGTAACTTACACAAAATATATCTTTTTAATAAACATTGTTCAGCTAGTCATTTCTTAGTATATTGTTAGTTTTTAAAAAAAAATTCATTTTCAAATAGACTGTTATATTCTAAGGGGACCTTACAGAAACACTGTCAAATAATAAGAACTGCTTAGGCTTAAGGTATTTAGATAAAAATTTATATTTTTTCATATATCCAGTCATTCTATACTAGAATATATAAATATATATTTATATATCTTTTTAAATTTGAAATGCACAAGAGATCTTTGGTTGAAAATGAAGGAAAGATATCCCATTCCTGAGAAAATCCTTCAAATTAATGTTTATATAATTTGCTATGATAGAAATATATTTTCAAAACCTTTATACTGTATACATGAAATATTTTATAATAATGCAGATTCAAAGCAAGGAATGTCCTCAAGTTATTAGCAGATTTTATTCAATACATCTCTTCATTAAGTTGAGGAAACAGAACTGACTTTTAACACATAGCATTATAGTACATTTAGCAAAGAACACAATCAACTTGAAAAAATTAATTAATTAACATGTTCATAATATTATATTTTTCTTGATAACTTACAAAATCATTTGACAGTTATTTTCAAAATATTTTTTTAAACATTTTATTTTATTCCCTTACTCACGAAGTTGCTACTACCAGATCTAAAAGTTGTCTTATTATTTGCTATTTTCCTATTAATAAGTATTAATAACCTAGGAGTTAACATATTTGCAATCAACCTTTTTTCTCTCCCCAAAATTATATTTGTATTCTAAGAATTCGGATCGCATTTTTTATTAAAATAGATGCTCTGTAATCAAAGAATTTGTGAGAATTAAAAAAATATCAATGATGTTAAGTATAAGAAAACTTAACTAAGCAGCCTTTGGTTTCTCTAAGATTTTCTCATAGCATTGCCAGCAGCTGCTATTAAAGGTCTGAGAGTAGCTAAAACCATAGACTTTTTCAAAAGTGGATGTTCTGAAAGATGTGCTGCACTTGCCCTTTTGTCTACTTTAATTTCCAAGCACTTGTCTATTTAATCTTTAAGCTCCTTTGATAGTTTCTGTTCATCTTTGATTTCTGGTTTACCCTGTGAATGGAAAATGCGAACACCCTTGCATTATTCACACATTTAAATGCATGCACCTTTTCTTTTCTTCTTGGCAAGATAAATCTTTTGCATTGTCCCAACCACTGTATCTCTCTTGCCTTTATCCCTGATAATTTGGGCACAGAAGCCAAAAACTGTGAGCCTGACTGCCCCTATCATGCCAAGCGAAGTAGCACATTGTCACTTTTAATATCTCTATGGATCATGTCACATGTCATGAAGAAATTGCAAGCCTTAAGGCATTCCTTACACACTAGTCATCTGCCCTTCCTTCATCATTGTTTCTGTAATCATATCTGTAAGAGCACCTCCATCGAAATACTGACAAGGAAATACAGTTTGATAAAAACTTTTGTTTAAACTGATGAATTGTTGTCATTAACGGAGTTTACAAATAAATTTTGGCCAAAAACCGAGTCACATTTTCATACACTGAAGCAAGTTTGAGATAAGAGGAAACCCTGCTACCAGTATACCTATATTAAATAAGCACTTATTGCTTAACTGCACTTTATTACACCTCTTCTGTTTATAAAATGATTATTTATATACAAATATAGACTATATTACATATAAGTATGACATACATAAACAATCATTATGCAATAATAATTGTGGTAATACTACTAACAATAAACACAACAGTAAGATAATTATCAGGAACAGTCAAAAATATTATTTAACATAATCAGGTTAGAGTTAAAATGATATAAAGCAAAAGAAAGTGGAAGCAAAATATTTAAATAGCAAAATTTGTGGAGATAGAAAAAATGTAGTTGTTTTTTTATTTTAAATTGTCATACTAGTAACAGCACCCAACAAAATTGGGTCTGTTCATTTGTAAATAACCATTTTCTCCACCCCTGAAAATTGAATAAAGTTAGTAACATAGAGGTTATTTTTTATATAATTGATTTCATACACAAAATTAAAAAGTCAAATATCTATTAGAATTCTTAGTGATTAAACCCATTGCTTAATTTTATTGGACGTACTAACCTCCATTACAATCCAGAGCTCCTCTACAATATAATAGCAGTCATGAAGTTAACAATATTCTCATGTCTGTAAAGTTTCATGACTCCAATCTCTGTGATGATCAATTCTGTCTTTGGTTGGTCATTCAGAGCCATCATCTTAATGGCCCCCATATGTTCAGAATCTTTACACTTTGCCATTCACATTCTTCCTGAAGCTCTATAATAGACATAATAAAGTAGATCATTAATTTCAAAGTTTTAATAAAAATGTATCAATGTTTATATTGTGCTGGTTTTATTTTTTCAGAATTGTTTGGATAAGTGGCTGAACTATTTTATGCTGCGGTTTAGTTTTTATTTGTTTTGGATTTTCAGGCGGTCCTAAAAAAAACTGTGATGAAAAAGATCTCATCAGCTGTATCAATACTTATGTATTTCAGGCGATAAATTTATTGTTTCTATGTTAAGTTTTGTGTTTAATACGTAGCCTAAGAAAGAATGAATGTGCACACACAAACCTGACTCCCCAGCATAACAATCCTTGGTAGGTGCCTGGTTTTTTTTTACCTGTTTTAAAATTCTTTCAACCATTTTTTACAAAATTGCCTTTGTGTCAAGAATAAATTAAAATTTGTATATTGGGTCGCTGTGGAAATTGTGACAAACCCCTTTCTGTGGTGTCACAGCCGATAAAATCTTAATTACAAATTAAATTATTTAATTATATTGATTACGAGGAAATAAATCAATACAAATGAGTTTGCTTCCTATTTACAATTCTATCCGTATGTTTGTCACAAAAAGGTTGTTACGGAGGAAGGCTCCGGTCCTGACTTTTCACAAAATGAATTGATTTAGTAGTGGTCAGTAGAGGACGCTCCTCTCTGTAATTTATATTTTGAGTATCTAGGCATTGGGGCAGACAAAGCACCACATAGATTTGAATGAAAACAAAACACTTCAAACTCCAGATGATGAAATAAATTACTTAAATACAAAGTTCTTATGTTGTATCACTTATCGTCAACTATCTCTATGTATCTCTATAGATATGATTGTTTCTAAACTATTCAGCTGTTTCGTCTCAGCTATTCCTATGTTTAGCTAGTCAACTGCTGTCTCCTGATCTCTTCCAACTATTCCCTATCAACGGTCCTCTTTCCACTGTTCCCTCTTCAACTATCTCTCTCAGCTCCTTTCTCTCTAACTCCCCATGTCATGAAGAGTTCTGTCTCATAGTTATATACGATTCTCTACCTCCATAGGATGCCCAGGAATGCTATCTATTCATACATCCCTGCCCCTTATTTTCGGTAAATTAGAATTTTCCTTCGTTAACCCCCAAAATTATTATGCAAAGTCTGGAAGGCCTAAAACATAATAAAATGGAAAGAAACAATCCCCTCTATCTCAAGGATGTGAGAATCTAATAACCTTAACCTCCCCAAAAATAACAACAATTTCCGTCCGCCCTATAAGTTACTTGAACAACAATGGAGCTCTGTCTGTACCCCCCCCCCCCCCCCCCCCCCCGCAGTCATTTGTGACAGTGTTAATACGCTTTTATCAGGACTTTTTTTGTGATTAATCGGGTATGAAATTGGCTCAATTGCTTTTAACGGTATAATCTCTGATGCTGGAGAGGTTCCCCCTCTCTAGAATTTCTTTGATGGAATTATTTTTAATGGATTAAAATGAAAGCAATGATTTCAGAAACTCCGCCGTAGCCGGTCCCAAGCCCGGGTGAGAAAGGAGGAGGGTTGGGCGAAGGGCTAGCAACCCTTCCCTGTAAAAAAAGCCCTGCTACAAAAACACAAAGAAAGATCTCAAAAGGAAACTCGGACCTTGGAAAGGATGGGTCTCCTAACAGAGAATTAATGAAGCTGGGTGGCCAAAGCCAACTGGAAACCAACCGGCGGACAACCATCCTCTCCACTAGGACCACCACCAGTCTAGGAACATGGAACGTAAGGACCATGTTCGAAACTGGAAAAACTGTCCAAGTTGCTGCTGAAATGCAAAGATACAAACTAGCCATCTTGGGAATAAGTGAGTCTCGATGGATAGGCTCAGGTCAGATAAAGCTCAACACAGGGGAACTGCTGCTATATTCAGGCCACGAAGATGAAAATGCGGCGCACAACCAAGGAGTGGCACTCATGCTTTCTAGAACTGCCCAGAACGCACTTATAGGGTGGGAAGCGCATGGTTCCCGTATAATCACGGCAAGATTTAAGACAAAAAAACGAAAAATCAATATGGACATCCTACAGGTGTACGCTCCTACCAACGATAGTAAAGAAGAGGACAAAGAGGATTTCTACAACAGACTGCGAACCCTGGTCCAAAGGTGTCCTAAGAGCAATATGG